ACAGACCACTCACTAAACTTACATATCAGTTATGGGACTATATAGTCTTACCATTTGAGAAGTCAGAGCTATCTTTTTTTCTTACAGAGGTATATCAATAACTGTGCCTGTCCTGGCTCCCTGAGCATTGACCCTGTAGACCTCACTAAAGCACATAGAATCATACAATGGTTTGGGCTGGAAGAGATCTTGAAGATCACCTAGTTCCAATCTTCCTGAAATGGGCCGGGACACCTCCCAATAGACCAGGTTGCTAAAAGCCCTGTCCAGCCTGGCCATGAACACTTCCAGAGACAGGTCATCCACAACTTCTCTAGGCAACCTGTGCTAGTGTCTCACCATGCTCACAGTAATGAATTTCTTCCTAATATCTAATCTAAATTTAGCCTCCTTCAGTTTAAAGCCATCACACCTTGTCCTATAACTACATGTCCTTGTAAAAAGTCCCTCTGTAGCTTTTTTGTAGGCCCCCTTTAAGTACTGGAAGAATGCAATAAGATCTTCCTGGAGTCTTCTCCAGGCTCAACAATCCCAACTCTCTGTCTGTCCTTGTAGGGGAAGTGTGCCAGCCCTCTGATCATGTTCTGTGGATGCAGAATTTGGCCACAAATGGGGCATGTAGCTATACCAAGGAACTTACAAACACTCTCAGATCTTGCCGGGTGAACACAGCAAAGATGACCATCAATTCTTTGCAATGATTTGTAAGACTTGTCACTTGACACCACAGGCTGTGTGTGTCCATGGCAGCTTTTCAGCATGCCTTTGCTGGGCTTGTAACATTAACATTCCTTTCAATCAGGGACACAGAGAGGAGCTAATGACTCATAGCTCCTACAGGTATGGAGTAAAGAACTGAGTGTCATGCCTTCTCTTGTAATTATCTTGATAGGTTTGACAGGCCTGGAAACTTTAATAACACCTTAAAAGCAGACTTTCTGAAGTAAACAAGAACCTGTTAACTAAAGGGAAATGGAAGAAGCACAACGTAATTGCCTATTGCTGTGTCCTTTATTTCCTTACTTGTAAGGCAGCAATTCCTGCATATATACCTTAGTTCTACAAAGCAGTGAGTTCTGATGACAGCTCTGATAACCCAAATTTATGTTCACTGTCTTATCCTGATTTTCTGATTATTCTAAACCAATAGTCTTAGGTTGTGCACAGCTTGGGGTATTCCCAAGGACAGTACATAATTCTGATAGCCTGAGTGGAAAAAAATGTGGCAAAAATCTGTAAAGAGTCTCCACAAAACAGCTGACAAAGTATGCATTAGGCTGGATACCAGAAAAGACTCTTTTAGGAGATTCACTCTTTTACATGTGGAAGCGTGTGCTAGGTCATTCTTCATCCTCTGAAGAATATCAAAGGAACTCCATTGTATCAGGTATCTAAATTAAGCTCCTTTTCTATGCAAGTAATACTTCAGAAGATTCACCATAAGACCAAAGCAGGTTTTTTTTAACAGAAAAGGGGGCGGCAGGAGGTTAATTTGTGATATTGATTGCCACAGTTTCAAACAAGGATTGCCATCTAATCTGGGCTTTAGAAAATAAAATGACTGAAAATGTCTAGGGAAATGAGTTACCGGTTTGTGACAACAAGCTAGCACACAGGAACTGGAGCGGCGGAAGCTTTGGTAGAAATGTGTTGCTAGATAAATGGTGGCAACAAACTGCTTTTCACTGGTGAAACGTGGGAGTGAAAAAAGCTCTTGCGGAAGTAGTCAATGCTGGCTGGGATTAAATGTGTCCAAGGAAAAAGCAGATGCCCTGTTTTGGGATTTGTACAGTGTTCTCCACTAAAAATCTTTAAGAAACGTTCCTTACCAGTCTACCTGATGTAGAAAGGGAGTGGTAGAAACCACATACGACTTCCTTTTGAAATAAATACTTCTCTTTATGTGTGGTAAGCAGCTGAGGTGTCTCTTCAGAAGCTGTAAAGAACTTCCTTTTATAGCTATCTAGCTGGGCAGAATAGACAATATAAGTGATTTTTTTTTTTTTTTTTCTAGTCTTAGCTGTAGATATAGCCTTGTGGTTGTAGACTACAGAGTTTCAACAGAAAGTAACTCAACTATTTCTATCTTCATTTCCACCCACAACTCCCAAGGAATAGTCAGAAGCCTTGACCTTGAATCTGAACCAGGAGTTCCACTTCTGCCAAAAGGTATTCTTTGTATTTGGAGTCTCTAGTGAAATACAGAATGATGGAAGAAAAACCTACCTTCATAGCTATTTCCTGTGTAAGCTAAAGGCAAACATTACTATTGATTACACTTTATATAAAGAAACCAGAGGATGAGAACAGAAGGCTTAAAAGACAATTTAAATTTACATGCTCTTTACAATAAGAGAAAAAAGATCAGTGGCTTTTTACTTCTGCAAATGATGAGGCATTCTTAAAAAGCCCCAGGAAATGGAGCAACATTTTTAACTTACAATAATATGCTGCATTCTGTAGTACATTTGATATGAGCATCCCAAGTTATTTTACCAGTGTTACTGAACTTAATTTACTATAGGTCTGTATGTTAGATTAAAGACTAACAAATAAGAGGGAGAAGGCTAAAACAAATTAAACTGATGCCTCATGAATCAGAATTAACCAGGTAGAGGGCATACATTACTTAACATCCAAGGACCACGTATCAACTTCATAAAATTCCTGTTAAATGTTGCAGTTGCAGTTTGTTTATAACGAAATTGAAACTTTCCTAAAACAAGGTGTAATTCAGTAGTAAAACCTTCCATAGTCTTCCATACAAAACAAGGCAGGCCTACATGATGTCAAGTTACACTATTTCAAGTGAAAACTCAGAACGTAAGAAAACAACAAAGAAAACGAGAGAGAAAATCTTTACTGACAGCATATAAAACTCAAGATTGCAAAGGTAAAGATTTCCTTTACAACTTCACAAATCCATCCTGGTGTTTTAAATAAGGATGATCTAGCTTAACGAATGTAGAGACTTGAAACAGATTGTTCAGCCGTAGAATAACTGAGATTGAAAAAGAGAGTAGTTGCTGATGATTAGGGTTACATGTCCTCTTACCTTGAGCAACAGAGAGTAATTTTTCAATCTCTACACATAACAGTTTTCATTCGTACACACAACAGTAAGTCTGATTGCTTGGCAGTAATGGCCACTCTTGCAATAAGCAAGTGTGATAGATCTCTGAACAAGCAGCAAACATTTTGCTGAGAGGAATGAATAGGAAAATGCCTAAGACACATGTATAGTAAAAGAGAACTGCTATCCTCTTCTAAGGGTTCAGTATATTGTCTCATTGTTTTCTGGTGCAGAAAGGGGAGAGGGAGGTGAAAGTTTTCCTTTACATTCCTCCCAGCCACAAAGAGAAAGTATTTGTAAGACACTCAACCCCTGAAGTGTAACTCAGCTGCTGATAAAGGCAGTAGATTTTGGTGTTCAAATAAATACATAGAGAGGTGGTAGAAAAATTCCTTTTTGACAGATCCAGTGGTTTTTAATATTGTGTTTAGCATCAGAATACTAAGCTAAACAGCAGCCTCAAGTAGATGCTCATTAATGACAGCTGAAGTGTTAAATATAAAAAAGAAGCATTCTTCAGTGAATTACTTTGCATATATGAAACTAAGGCTCCCAGTTTCAAAGGTAAAGTACAATAATAAGTGCCAAGAACATAGTGAAAGTGTCTGCAACTTGTATGTTGAGGAAATCCGGATTTTTTGTAAATTAAAGGCACAAGAATCTGGATTTTCCCTAATTCTACTTTTATTGCAAGCGAGGAGGAAAACATTGAAAGCAATAACTCCATGAATAGAAATTAATAGGAACAGGGTGTGCAAGACCAGAAAAACAGCAGTGATGGCTTAGAAGGCAAGAATTATCAGGATAAAATGATTAAAAAAAAAAAAAAAAAGAAGCTAGATCTTACAAAGAGAACAAAAATATTTAGAAAAAACACATCTTCACTTAATTTCTTGTCTTTATAGCCTAACCACACCATATTTCCTTTTCTTAGTTTTATTCTTGTTTGGAAAGCTAACTGAGGCCATGAAGGAGAGGGAACTTCAGACAAGCACATATTATTATTAAAAGTAAACATGCACTTCAGAGGCCTTAAAAGCACAAAGTCTTGTGTATTTTCAATGAATATATTCCTAGCTAAAAGTTTTATTAACTTTATGTTATTTGAGTAGCAAATAAGTGAAAATTAGAAATAGATTTCTTTTATTTACAAGTTCTGTATTTCTTGGTCTTGACAGTACTTGTAAGAAAGTAGTAAGAGAAGAGTTACTTATCTAATTACTGCTTTGCACAATCTAAAACATAGCAAGGGAAAAATGCTGTGACATTCATTTCCGAAATGTAGGTCTTGCTCCAAGAAGTTGAGTACTACCATATCCACAGTATTGCAGACTTAATTTTAGCTGTTGTCTGTACTGGTGTTAATCTTTATTACCTCACCATGCATGAATTTTCCTTCACCTGTATTTAACTGACAAGGCATGTGGATACTTGGATGTGGTAACTTTCTGCTTGCTGCATTCCAGCTTTTTTTTTTTTTTTTTTCAAATCAGATGTTGAAGCTTAGTGTGTTTTTGATACAAAGTGTACTTAAACTGTTCACGAGTAGTCTGATGTAACAGGTATGTGCAATACTCATAAATACCCTGGGTCTAGTACAAGTTTTTATTCATTTAATTTCAGTGACATGTCATCAAAAAGCAGCAGTACAGCAGGTGGAATAGAAGCAGATAGAAAGGGGTTAAAACCAGTAACATGGTTAAAATGTTAGAAAAGGAGAATTTGTCAGAAACTCAGTCTGAACACAGGCATGGCTTCACTCTTTACTGAGAATTCATGGTCACTGAAGACTTGGGTATCTCCAAGATAGAGGATACTGGTCACACTTGGCAGCTTGATAATTTCTAAACTTGCTTAGAGTAGTTGCAAACTCCAGTGGATTACCTGGAAAAGTTTGGCAGTTTAATGAGAGAAAGGGTTGACTTACTGAAATAAAAGCCTCTGTCTCCACACACAAACTGAAGAGCATCAACCAGCTCAGCACCACAGAGTGTTTCTGGGCCAGCAGCAGCAGAACTGGTTAAGGTAAGCAAACACAGGCCAAGGTAGAAGAAATGAATGTAGGACACAGTGTGCATCTTCACCTGCCAAGGAAGCAAAAGCAGTGTCAGAATTTCCCAATACAAGTCCTAAAGAAAATGACTCCTGCACTCCCGTGAGTTGAGAATGCATACGTACTATAATTTGTTAGACAATAAACACAGTATCAGGAACTGCCTCACCATAATTTTGCAATTGTCTGCATACTCTAGTCCATGTATTTTGTAAACTGATTGCTTCCTCTGGTGACTATTCTTGGTTCACATTTCCACATAGTTAGAGGACTTTGTAGTATCTATGATTTATGGTTCCTCCTGCTTTTGCAGGAAAGAAAAGTGCATTAGACAGGCAATTGCAAGCCCAGAATAATAAGGCAGGGAAAGACTAGGAATTGTTTTATCTGAGACCAGATAGGCTAAGAGGGAATAAGACAGTTGCCTGCCAATGCACTGCGGAAGATGGAGGTGGCATATGACAGAAAAGAGGTTTTTAAACTGAAGAACATCACAGGCACAGGAATAAATGTCTGTAAACTGCATGGAAGCAAATTTGGCCCAGCAGGAAAACAGTTCCTAATTAGTACTCCATGGTTCTCCAGCCACCTTAAAAAGGGATATATGAGGACAAAACTATAAAAGTTTCAAGGTTGGGCTTGCCAAAGTTACACAAGAGTTGATGTGGGACCTTCTATGGTAGGGGACTGCATTTAATTGTTCTTACAGTCCTGTTAACTTGCTAGTGCAAGTTAACCTTGGAAGCTTTCAAAAAATTGAGAGGAGTAACAGTGGGAGTGTTAAGGATTTATATTTTTACTTGATGGAGCTAGCTATACTTTCACAGACCTCTTTTATATTTTCATAGTCAGGTTTGGCTATGAGGTGCACAGAGTGCACAGAGGAGACAATTCTTTTCTCATTTACTTTTGGTTACAAACTATCTTTTTCCTGGACTTAAGGTTGAAAAAAGGCCAATCCTCAATGAGTGTAAACTTGCACCGTTCCATTTATCCACTTTCTTTTATATCAATTTATATCAACCGAAGATATTACCCAGCATCCAAGAAGATAGCATTTTTTTTTTTTTAAATACTAGGAAAAGCTATTTATATTTTGTATCCGGAGACCCAAGTTTGTGGTGGAGAATGTGTTGAATGCATATTATGAACATCGCTTGCCAAAAATGTTAGTTTTAAAAGGTGTAAATCTGCATTTAATTTCAGTATCTTTCAAGGTTAACTTTAGTATTCAAGTCAGGTAAAAAGTTACAAATCTTTCTTGACCATACAGTTAGCCTTGGCTTAAAACTGCTTTGTATTAGCAGACTAGTGCAAAGTAATTGGAGTAAAATGGTTAATCTTGCCTAAAGTTTCTTTCACAGTTACAGGGACCATTTAATCTTAGTTTTTCACTGAACTTTTGAAAAAAAAACAATTAAATTGTCTATTGTCTGTTCATATGGGATCTGATCCAGTGGGGTATTGAGCCTTCTCTAGTCAATAATTTTTAAGAATTCTTATTTTCTTGGCAAGGGATCTTAAGCATCTTGCTGGGTAAGTCCCATATGTCAACTAAGTCAAAGCCGAATAAGAGACAAATATATAAATAATTCAGAATTATCCTTCTTTTTTTTCCTGATACTTCCACTGTGAAAATAATAAACAAATCTAAATCCCATGATCTAGCATAAAAACAAAGAATAATTATTTTCCCATTCACAAAAGTCTTTAGTCAATTTTGCCATGCAAAACCCGACAATCTTTAATTCATGGATGTGACTTCAATGGCAGATGGGGGAATATCAGATTATAAATGCATGACAATAACAAGACGCATTATTTCCTTTAGTGATTCCAAATCTTATCAAAATCAATTTTATTTTTCCCTTGCCACATTTTTGAATTTCCAAGATAAATGTGATGCACCTGCTGCTTAAGATGGTTCACAGTCCTGAGGAGGTAAAGCAAAAAGCTGTTTAGCACACTGCCTGAGAAGGCTGAGAGACATTATAAATACAAGAACATTATGTATTTAACAATTTGTTCCTGTATAACACTTGGCCCAGAAATAAACATAAATCTTAGACATTTAACAGTTCTGTATTTTTCAAGACTTTTCAGCTGGATTGCATTTTCAGATAAATATCAGCACTGAACTACAACAAAACAGATTATCTACTGTTTTTCCTTTAGTGGAAGCCAAAAAGGCTGCACAGTATAAACCACAGAGAATTTCTAACTTCATGTCCAAATTTAAAAACAGTCAAGAACTTTCAAACAAGTAAAAACTTTGGGGCAAAGACTCACATGTTTCTAGGGCTCTATCAATTATACGTTAGATTAAGTGCTGCTTCATCAAGACTAAGTCCAAAACACAGTTTAAAACTTTAACTTTGCTTCATCATTTTAATTAAACATAATATGAGATGATTCAATACATTTGTGATAAAATCAAAGTTCCTATTTATGTCTGAGGGGAATATTCTTAAGAAAATACAAAGTTGTAATCCAATATTGCTTCAGGTTCTTTACAAACGAGCAGGGTACTTGCAGTGTCCCACATTTGACTAGAAAGTTGATAGTGTAAAAGAAAAGTCATTGGCATGTGGGTGGGGTTTATTGAAGCATCTAATTACATTTGGAAATCGAATACAGGTTCAGGATGAGCCTGGTTAAACACTTCTTTTAGTTGTATAGAATGACTGACCATATTTTCACAGCTGGAATTTCCTCTTTTTTCAGTAAAATAACCAGCTTTTGCTGCATTCCTCTTTTTAATAGTCCAGAAGAGTGGCACCACAGAGGAATGTCATATATGAACACTCTACATCTCTTCTCCTTCCAAATTCTTTTAAATAATTCCTCTTAATCTAACAATCAGTTGGCACACATTGTGCATAAGAATTTGTCAATGCTTGTTCATTTTATTAATGGACAAGAACATGTACAATAATTATAAGTATCTTAAAGGTGGCAACATTTTTATCGATAGTGTATACTGTAGAAAAAAATTAAGTTACATTTGATTACATTTTGCTATATAGAGGTAGGACCTTATTACCAAGCAATAGTAGAAGTATGTAATTAGTATACAATAACAGTATTCACTAGTAATTAATATAGAAATAAAGCACATATACTCTAGAACAGATCAAGGTTTAAATATTGCTAACTTTGATTAAGGAACCTGGGCTACATCCGAATCTAAATCAGTATGTCCCATTAATTCCAAGGAAGCTGGGCAGGATGCACCAGCTGAGGAACTAACACATTGCTTTTATGTCTCCTAGTACTTTGCTCAATACTTTAAAAAAAATTATCTTCATCCTTCAAGTATATTGTAAGGGATGCCCATTTATACATTAAGAAAATGGTTTCATCCATTGCAATTACAGACCTCCTGTTTTGAATCACATTAAAGAATGAGATAAGTGTGTTGTAAGTGTAAGACACTCTAAAAAAATAATTGGGCCCTAAACAATCAAAGCAGGAGAATTCTGTCAACTGCATAAGTGTCTTTGCAAAATATTAGAGAAAAAAAGTTCTTGACGGATGTGAATTTTCTGACAATGGAAAGTTGAACTGGGGCCAAGTGACAGAAACAGAGGTCAGTGCACCTCCTGAAGCCAAATTTACTTAAAGACAATTTTTATTAGTGTGTAGAAATTACAGAGTCATAACATGAAACTTCACATGCAAACTTCCCTGAAACAGCCCTCCCTGCAAGGAAAAACTTGGAGATGAAGATGTAGGGGAATTTCCATTTTCTTTATGTACAATTGCTTAAGCTACACAAATATGCAAGGTCAGCAAGAGTCGCAGCTGGTTTCTAATGTAGAAAACAAACTGAACTTCACATTTACTTTTAATTTATGAAACCAAAAACCGAGTAAATGTTACAGTGCTGCCATAAAATTGCTGCAGTGACAACATCCCTTAAAAGTTTCCCTATGAAAGCACAAACATTTCATCTATAATTGTCCATAATAAAACTGCAGAAACTTAACATGTGAATAATACCTTTTTTTCTTGTGAAAACCTGCACCTGCAGAAAACAGATAAAAGTTCTTGTTTTCAGAAGCATTAATTAACAATATAGGCAATGATGTAATCGGACCATTTAATAATGACATAACTGAAATATTGCAAAGTTCTCTGAATAGAAGTGAAATTTAAGACATGTATCTGCAATAGTTTACCCTTACAGTTATCTATGTAATTCCAACTCTTACATACAGCCATTTTCCAGATCACATAAAATTGTTTGTTCAGCAATTTATAAATAATTCTCTAGTTCTAAAATATTGTTATTGTAAATTGCACAATACTCTTAAAATTAGAAGCAGACAATACACCATAAAATAAAACAAAAACATATTTGAAATAGTAATAAAGATTTACCTTCAAGAAATCACAAAAGCAGCACTTAACTAATTGTGTTGAAAGACTGTTGATTTTTTCCATTGCTTCTTAAAAGTGCAAAGTCTGGAAATGAATTTGTTAGCAGTAATGATGAGAAAAAAGAAATCCAGAGAGATGTGAGATGTTGAGAGCAATGTCACATTTCAATATTGAGGACTTTATTCCATTGCGCAGGCTCTATCTGCTCTGATTTTAGCAGTGACAGTGAGATTTAGCAAACAGAAGAGGGATTTAGAGAAAATCCTCACATTTATCTACATTACACAGACACTGTAGACAGGAAACAGCTGGGGGAGCATTTGCCTTCTCTCTCTCTCCCTCTTCTGGCAAAGTTACCGAGTAAGGACTTTTTTGGGCATGGTGACAAATAACATCATACCTTTGCATTTTAAAACTAGAGCACAGAAGCATATTTTTTTCCCTTTAAAAGAATGTGAATTAATGACTGAGAGGTTAGCAGACAAAAAAGCTTTTGCTGCCATGGAAAATAAGAAAATGTATCCTGTTTAACTTTCAGATAGCTATGTGTGTATTTTTATTTATATGTATGTGTGTCTGCATTGCAAATAAATAAAACCCTATGCACTTAAAGGTAGTGTTTGTATAAATGCATACCTTTGCATATATGTACACATTTTATTTATGCATAAAGGCACAGGTATTTTATTTATATGCTATAGAAACACAGGCAGTTGATTATCTACTTTGTTCTTAATGCATCTTTGTGTTATTAAAGTTGGCACACCTATACGCTGAGTAACAACTAAAACCTCCAACTCTTTGTGCAATTAACCCTAAAATAGCAGTTTGTAATTTGCTAAAAATAACAGAATTGTTGAGCACTACTTGTAAATAAGGAAAAATAGCTTTGAGATCTTTCATCAGCCAGGCAGGAGAAGTCATACCATTTCCTAGAATTTACAGTACTATGAATGTACTAACACAAGTAACCAGTTTGAGGGGCTTCCACGACGTTTGTCTTAAATGTGGTGTTGTAATTATAAAGTGATTTTCCCCCTTTTTAGTAGTAACCTTCATAATTACTCTTGATAACAAATTAAATGACACCGGGAAAGAGAGAATTCAACTATGTTAGTTCTACAATACTTAACTTTTTCATTTTTATTTTTCCTCAATTATGAGTATATTATAAATAACACCAGCTGGCCAGCAACATGCTCTCACGGGTTATGATGTCATTCAAATCCCTCAACTGTGTTAGTGGCTTGCAAAGTGCTCCAAGCCAGCTGTTTTTCTATTTATAATGTATGCTTGCATTTCAATATTTAGCTATTGAGAATAAAGTTGTGATGCTGCTTTATAGATACAATTTGTGCTTGTTACCCTTTGGTTTTGGAATGTGTCATTTAAATGTAGAGAATTAAACAAGACTGCAGCACCAGAGACCAAATATATGTGACAAAGAGTGCATGATTTCCTTAAAAGCTGTTTCAGAGCACTGCATTTTGAACCTGTTCCTTTCCACTAAAGAGTTGCATGCTGAGGTGCTAGTGCAACTTATTATTGAAAATAGCAACTGAGATCATGTTAGTCCAGGTCCATTCTCAGTATTTAGATCCACCTTGAACTATATGGTGCTTGCCAGGCAGAAAAGACAGTTTCGGTTATTTGTATCCTCTATGAATGTATAATACTCTGCTCTGTTCAGTTTTAAACGGTGTATAGGTAGCTAAACTGATTAATCTTTAGAAACAATTTCTTCTAATGTAGCATAATTACAGAATCACAGGAAGCTATGAGGTAAGCTCATTTAGTTCAGGCAATACTGTATTTCAAGTATTCTAACACACATTTCTACTGCAGGTACTATATTTTAATATTCTGGTCTCTTTTATTCTTCCCTTTGCATTTCAGAGGCCATTGAACAGAGGCATGATTCTACACATAGCTTGACATTGTCTGCTCCGACTCATAGCACATGTATCGGTATCTCACCAGCCTAATAGAAGAATGTAGGAAGATAAATTGTTGGAGCTCTGAGGTTCTTTATTTTTGACTTTTACAGTACTACAGATGGGGATGCATACTTCTACCTTTTTCCTCCTAAATAACAGGAGTCCGCTCATTCATCACTTCCACACTGCCTGAGCTTTGAATCTTTATTTCCCTCCTCACTGTTTTTTTTCCTCTAGGTTTCACCAGGGTGCTCTTGGTCACAAGAGCAACATGCAGTAGAATGTGCAAGTCTCGGCTTTCAAGGTAGCCAGAGAATTGTAGCATCTCTACACAAGCACTAATCCTGCTTCTTTCCATGGAACCATTCTGAACTCTTATCATTCCATCCAACCAGCCTAAATTTCTTTGAATCTATGTTTTAAAGTGGTATTGTGAAAAAGCAGGAAAACAGAATGGATTCAAGAGAGATTTTGGTAGCGGTTTTTAGACTTAGTGTAGTACTTTTCCTCACTCACAAGTAATTCCACTTTTTTTCTAGAAAATTACATATTCTTCAGAACAAACTGACCTGGGAATCACTACTTTCCTAAAGTATAGCTTCTATCCTGCTGATAATATTCTAGCCAATATAGTAGTCTGTTAACAAATGGAGATTTGTTCATTTCTCCCTTGTTAAATATAGTGGCTTTCACTTTAGATACCATTTAGAATAAAATACTGAATGATTACTGGTTTATGACTGAGTGCTTATGAAATTACATACATTCCTTGAACAAAATGCACCTGTAAACTACAGAATGTATGACAGTCATCAAAGTACTCACAAACAGTGTCCAGGTCAGAAAAAAAAAAAAAAAAAAAAAAAAAAAAAAAAATGGAGTGTATATAGCTATGGTGATTTAAAAGACAATAATTTATGTATCTTTGTTTGGCTTCTTAAGTACCACCTGCGGTGATATAATAGCCACAAAGATATATACGAGATATGTGAAATAGATAAACAGGAATTTATGTGTCCTATTGCTCATCTTTTGCACTTCAATACTCTGAAATGCTGAGGTCTAAATCCCAAGCCCTGAATCAGAGTTGACATATGAATAATGCCCACAACCAGGCAAGAGAGACCTTTCTCTTGGTTTTCTCTCAGGGTCTGGCCAACCTTGGGTGAAAACTAATTAAGACATTAACACCAGGTGCCCTGCCTTTAAAGTTAATAGTATAAAAGCTGGCTCTGCTAGTAGTGAATAGGCATGCTTATTTATGCAGTGAGTGTAGTATGTAGGAAACCCTAGACAGTAGAAGGGTTACCTGACTGGTCACTACAGGTAGAGTTCCCAGTGATGGTGGGACAGGATTGAGACCAGGGCAGAAAGAGGATTATGTATGTAATAACACTTTTCTATGTCAATTACTATATAATTGGAATTGGACCGATGACCTGGCTTATTTCTTCCCCCATGACTTGGTTTCCTGGTTGGCTTGCTCTTTTCTGTGCTACATTGTGTACCATGAGTGAATACATTGATCTATTTGTTCCTCCTGTTGTTAGCCACCTCATACCTTTCCTATAGTCTTTGAAGTGGGGTGATAAAGTCTTTCCTGTATATATCCTGCAAATGGACATATCCTTCTTTCTGGGACATGCAGTCAGCAACATACACTCTTATGATATCACTGACATGCTGTAATGCTGTCAAGCTCATGTGTCAGTTTTCCCAAGGAGAACTCCATTTCCTAGAAGACAGTTAGCAAAAGTATGTTATCAATTATCCTAATTAATATATTATCTCTGTTTCCATAGAAGGTAGGAAGGTTGCCACATTGCCTGAAAAAATCTGAACTACAGTGAGGCAATCAGTATGCTATCCTCTTGCCTTCTTCTATATTAAATCACTCTTACCTATTTGCAGTTACTTTTAATTTATATCTGTTGTTTCTTCTCTTACACTTGGCTTATGTTTTCTGGAGCCAAGATAGAGCCACTATAGATATCACCTGAGAGGGTGACAGGCCTGAGAGCATGGTGGAATACAGGATGGAAGAAGACAATAAACACAGTGACTGGTGAGCAGCTGTTCTTTGCTATATCAAAATAGCAGAGGCAAAATTCTTTTATTATGTTGTTTTTAGGATGTTCATCCTGCACAGATGCAGTAAGATTCATACAGTATGAACAGATGACTGAGCTATATTGAATGACATGGGTAATGTGTCTCCTGTGCTCTCAGAAGAGCCTTTTGAAGGACTGATGTCTTATCAGCGTGCCATTAGCTTACTGACTGGTCACTGAATTCAGTTCTCTAGGCCAATGAGAGCTGGAGTTTTTTATAGCTTTTTTTTCCTTCTTTTTTTGAGTTCCAGTCATGATATTAGACATTAAAGACCTTATTAATTTGCCTTAATCTAAGCATCTAGTGTAATTTTTTAGTGCTGTGGGATATAATGCATGCCCTCAGCTTACACTAAAGAGTGATACTGATTTCCCATAAGTCTCTCTCCTATCTACTGACCTCATATAGATTTCTTACGTACTTTAGGGCATCTCAAATGGCCTTCAGCACCTGCAGGTAACTGAACTCCACCATAAGGCCTTCTTTTGGCATGCTGATCTGGGATTCTTGTAAGTGTAGCCTTTGGCCTGAGTGTTACCTTTGGCTTCTTCATAAATAGAATTCCTCTGTCATTTACTATTTTTGTGATCCATTTGTGAAGAGGTTTTAAAGTGAAGAACACAACAATTTTCACTGAATTTCAGCATGATCTGATTGTGTATTTTCTGTATTCTACTTTGCTTAGCTTCCAGCTTAAGCTTTTTTTTTGTTTGGAGATGTCTTTTTTTTATTTGCTTCATAAATGATCTTCTTTACTTTTGGATAAGGTAAAATTTTATTTACAATGTCAGTATTACTCCCTGAAACACACAAATGATTGTTTAACTCATAGTCTCCAGTGAATCTTTTGTAAAATATTATGTGTTTACTATTGGAGAAGTTTGGCATTTTTTTTCTAGGAAATAACATTGGAGAAAGGGGTGAGAGTGTATTTTATTAATATGGAATGTTACGTTGAAGTTAGTAATAAGTCAAGTATCCGGTGGAAATTCCTTTCATGAAGTTAAATGTTAGGAAATCAAGAAAGAAAAAATTTTATTAATTCATTTCAACTCTAAAAAAACCACCAAACACCTTTTCTCATGGTGGCCTAAGTAGCAGCATCACTACACAGAAAAACAAGTAACAGATCTGTTTGGGAGGATGAGGGCATGCAATTTGAACTTTTGTTAGCAATATTGAGGAGACACCAAGGAGAAAGTGGTGTCATTAAAGTTGGTTTCTCACTTGGGCAAAACAGGGAAAGTGCAAGTTTCATGA